GGTTCGATCAATTTATATCTACTAGTATCCATTTCTGCAATTGGCTTTCCTTGTTGAACACGTTGATATTCTGTTGCAAGTATAGGTGATTCCTAATTAATTGAAAATTTTACTAACATATTAATAAATGTGATTTAATATAATAAAAACATATCGCGAAACTTACTTTAAATAATTCGAAATTAGAAGGAAAATGTGAAGCGTAATCTCGTTTTGATTGAGAAGGTCGTTTTCTCATTTCTTGTTCAACAAGCTTATCAACTTTTGCTCGCATTCCTTTGTAAATAATAAACCGATTCAGTATATATTTTCATAGTGATAAATCCTTGATCTTAATGAATGATCTAAACGTTAGAGTTAGATTACCTTCATAATCAATTTCTTGATCAATGTCTTGAAAAAAAAGTTAAGCCAAAACAAGTCTTACAATTTGTAACTATAATTGTAAATCGCGTAAAAAATTTATTGTCAACAACCTACATGGTAAAGAATCGACTAACACGTCAGGATGTTCGATTTGTTCCATTATCGTTGCAAAGAGAGAACCTGTGTCTGGCTTGATGATCAAGTGATAATCCAATGATTTTCTATTTACAAGTGGATTTCTGATTGGATAATGCTGTGTGTATGACGTTAGCGCAGTAGTAACGTATAAGATAACGATAATTGGACTTTAGAAAGGACGAAATTACTTTTCAAAATCTGAAATACTTCGTCCAAGTAAAGCAATTTCTCCAAGGAGAAATGTCACGGACTTCCTTACATTTTTCTGATTTCATGAAATACATTGGACTAACTACTTATCTAAAAGCATTTAAACAGATGCTTTCAAAAACACCACACTAACTTGGACCCTGGAGTATAACTGTATAATTATACTCTGTCAGAAGAAAGAAAGGCATTAACAAGGGGCTTTATAATAATAAATGCTAATTTTTTTTGAATGTTTTTACTGGTGTTTACGGAGCCAATTAAAGAATATGATACTTTTTTATTTAAACGACGTACAGAAACTTTTACAAGGCAACTCGTCAAAGGCGTGACTAAGGTACGTAGCGCTGCTTAGCATATGACTTATGAAATCACGAGATTATCGAAAAAAAATAATTGGTTATTGCTTCAAATTTTGAATCGAACTAATATTCAAATTCGAATGCTTAAAATATATTTACATCAAAATTTTATTTTATTTATTATTTTTTTTAAAACTTCAAATTTAAATTTAATACTATAAAAAAGTTTTTTTGCCATTTACTATTTTTTAAAAAAGCGTGTGGCTAATATTTTACAACGTAAAAAAGACCATCCACTCAACAAATCATATACTTTTCAGTTCCTTGAAGTACGAAATTTGATTCAATACTTTGAAGTCTTCTTTTTTTGTCTCGAAAGATTATTAAACTTTTCATAATAATCAAGAAACAAAAAGCAAGAAACATCGAGAGTAAGAAACAGAAAGGAAAGAATTTCAAGAATAAGAAAACATTTGAAACAATGATAATATTATATTACTGTATTAATGTATATTCATTTAAATGTAACTAATAAAAAAAAATTATATTTCAGTTTTTTTACATTTCTTTTTCTAATTCAAATTTACTATCTTCAATGCTTGATGCTTCATCCTCATTTATATTTTGTTGTACCTAAGTTTAGAAATTTTAAAGAACAAAATATGAACGACAATAAACTTCTAGAAAAACGATGAATTCATCTTTCTAAGAAAATTAACTCACGCTTTTCTAATTCATTAACTATTCAAATAATATCTACAACAATCTTAAGATTGTTTTTTTTCCTGTAAATATTACACTTTCTTTTTTGCTTTCATTTATACTATATATACTCAAAACATGTTTTTTATTATTTTTAAATAAAACAATAGGTTTCATAATTAAACTAGATAAACAAGGTTGTGTGCTATCCATCTTAGAAGTTCAAAGCAAAAAACATTCAACCTATTATTGTATTATATGTTCATAGATAGAGGTTTGTCTGATTGGCTAATAAATTCAATTTAATTTTACATTATTTATACAGTTTAGAGTACTTTTAAAAAAATGAAACCCAATCATAATAAAGTAAAAAAAAACATATAGAAGGGTTTATTAAAGTTGTAGGACTCTATAGCCAAAAATAAGATTTAATTCTCATCCGTTTAAAAAAATTAGCTTAGTAAAAAGTTGATTTTATCGGGTTTTGAGAAGGTATTACTATATCAACTTTTTTAAACAGATGCCTTGTAGAAATTGAAGGAATGACTATTCCAATCACTGTTGAATTAGATCTTATTTTTGGCTATGGAGTCCTACAGCTCTAATGAACCTTATATATATATTTTTTATTACTATTATAGTTGGTTTTCATTTTTTAAAAAAGTACTCTAAACTGCATAAATAATGTAAAATTAAATTGAATTTATTAGCCAATTAGACAAACTTCTGCCTATGAAGGAGATATTTTATAGAGGGTATTATACACAATATATACTGCATAAAGCAGCATAGTACAGGTAATATAAAAGTCATCTTGTTACTAGATTTGCCCTTAAAAGAAAAATTTTTTTGAATTATAAAACAAGAACGATAAATGACGAAGTCCACACCTGCTATCTCGAATTTGAGTGAAAGCAAATTCTAGCTCTTTTCATCATTTAACTTTTTTATAGTCCTGCGGTTTAAAACTACTAGAAATCAATTGCTTATTTCTTTGTTGGCAAGTTCAATTTTTTTTTTAATTTTTAAAAGAGTATCTGCTTTCAAATAGCATTATACCAACATACAACACATTAACTTAAAGGATTTTGCATATTTGCCAATACAAATATACACTGCATAATAGTCTGTAGAATGCAGAAGTAAATTCACTAGACTAATATAATTAAACAAAAAAAAAAAAAAAACCAAAAAAAAAGAAAAAAAAAAAAAAAGACAAAGAAAAGTCATAATACATATATACAAATCCATATCTTGTAATCCAATATTCACAACATCCATCTTTAATGTCTAATACATAAAGGTTTAAGTGTATAATGGTCCATAGAAATCTCAATACTCAGTGTGTCTAGTTAACAAGTCAAAAAAAAAGATCATAGTCAGCACATGAAAAATTAATGATAATTGCATATCATGAAAAGAGACATAGTAAACATGCAACTACTAAAGAATTTCAAATAGAACCTTAACAACTTCGAGAATGAATCAATAAAAAATCTGACCTTATGAAGGTTGCATCATACATTTAGAAATTGTCAATTGGAGCTAGGCCAAAATACTCTGAACTCAAGGCTGAATTAATTGTATAGTTTCAAAACCTTCGATCTCATCAAAAAACTGTTAGTCGGTATATAATTCAAGCAAAGGCTCGTTCTCTTTAAGCTACTTATTGCTTTCAAGAAATATATCGAGAAATTGAAAATTATAAATTTTCACAAAAATGGGTAGATGGATTCATGACAAGAAATAATTTAGTAAACCGAAGGCATACCACAACTGCTCAACGTCTCTCAGAAAGTTATTTTAAAGATCAAAATGAATTTTTATCTTTTGTACTTTTCAAACATCATAAATATAATTACCTCTTGTCACTAATTGGTAATATAGATGAAACTGCTTTGGCCTTTAACATGACAAATAATATCACTATTGAAACAAAAGGTATTAAAACTATTGCAATTGCATCTACTGATCATAAAAATTCGAACTTCACTGTTGTTTTAGTTTGCTTGGCTGATGGTACTAAGCTTTCTTCTGTAATCATTTTTAAACTAGTTAATGTATCTTGTGAAGAATTTTCTAATAGTGTTGTTGTACATGCTAATTCTTCAGGATGGATGAATGAAAATAAAATGTTGTAGTGGGTGGATAACATTTGGACATGACGAGCACAAAGTGGAAACAATTCACATTCTTTGTTAATTTTGGATTCATTTGCTAGCCATAAGACAGATTTTATAAAATGCCGTTTTTGTGAAAAGCATACTAACTTAGCTCTGATTCCCAATAGTTTAACACCTCACTTACAACCTCTTGATGTTTCTTTAAACAAATCATTTAAAGCGAAAGTAAAATCAAACCTTTTTATTATATTATTTATATTATTTATTTTATTTTATTTATTTATTTATATTTTTTATTTTTATTTTTTATTTTTTTTTATTATTTTTTTTTAATTTTATTAATTTAATCTTTTCAATAGATGCGAAAGATCTATAATAAGTAGTTTGATGAAGGTATTAAAGAATACACTAAAAAAGGCAAATTGAAGCATTCTTCTTATTCTTTAGTTGCTAATTGGGTAAAAGAAGCATAGGAGGCTATTGATGTCAATTTAGTCAGAAAATCCTTTAAATGCTATGGAATTTCAAACACAATTGATGGAACTAGGATGATTTAATTTTTACTTTACAAAAATCGATAGTAAAACCAACCCAGGATAAGAAATTGAAATTCAAGAAGAGGAATTAGATGAAGAAAATGAAGAAAGTAATGATGAAGACACAAATGAAAATGGATTAGTTTATGATGATTATTATCAGAAAGGTGAAGAATTGAGTATTCTTCAAGACTGGAATTAATATTCAATTAGTAAGTAGTTTTTATGGTTCCTATCTATGCCTATATTATTTTATTGAATAAAAAAGTTTATAACCAAAACTTTTATTTACATTATTATATAATAGTAGAAAAGGCTGATATAAGGCATTTATCATTTATAATAAGTTTTTAAATTGAACTAAGACCACATTTGGTGTAGGTTATTGTTATCAAATAAAATGAAAAGTTCAGTAGGAATTATCGTTAAATAAACTGAAGACTTTTATTTATTAAAAATGTGCTGAGATGGGACATGCCAGTGGAATGCATAATGTTAAATGAAAATTAAATTAGAATTTTTTTTAATTTTCCTTATTTTTTTTAAAAAAAAAAAAGTCACCAACTTGATAAAATGATTAAAAATTTTAATGCGCAAAATTAACATTTATTATTTAAAAATGCAATAATTCATAGTATAATTGAATCAGATTAACTTTTTTTGATCCAAATAAAGTTGTAATTTAATTTTCATGTTATGAATAAATGCATACTATTTTTTTAACTAATGGTAGTTGCATTTAGTGTTATAAATTCAAAAAATTTTTATTTGCACAAACTCAAAAAAATGTGCACAAAAAAAAAATTCATATATGCACTATATATACAGAGAGTGCTGATATCATGCAAATTTAAATTTATGTATATTGCACCTACTGTGCGAACCTAATTTAGATCACTGTTGCATTTGTGTAACTATGAGATACATTGAAATTTATATCATTTTACCTTAATTTAGACTTTATTTTACGAACAATAATTCGCAAGTAAACTCATTCCACAAACAAGTTTTTCTTATAATTTAAATCAACTTTAAGCATAATTCTAAACTTAATCCCAATAATAATAAAATAGACTTGCTTGTAACTATTTATAAAATGAAGTCTGCGAAGCCTACAAAGTGTTAATAGTATATTGATGTTGCACAACAATAATAATATAATATACCTGGGTCTTATATAATATTTCATGCCAAATAATTACAAAATACCCAGGTATTATACTTAGTAAAAAATATAAGCTAGGCAAAATACCCAGATATGTTGCATGAGAGGTACTCAAAAAGGAGGGCTTTTGGGCAGTGCTCTATGGTAAATAAACTATAAATTACAATATAACTTTCTGTTTCTAATTTTGTGTAATAATATCATGCAGTTACCTTATTAAAAAATTTATTATATATAATATACTTGATAAATTCAAATGCAGTTATGTAGTTTTAAGAATTGCAATATATTAATATTACAGTAATATTGCTATATATGATTTATTTATTTCTGAGTAACAATATTAATAAACTAAACTTTTAAATAAAAAACATAAAAATAAATAAATTTTATTTCCAAATCCAAAAAACAAAATAAAATAAAATAATTTTGTATTTTTTTTTAAAAAAAAAAAAGTAAAGAAATAAAAATAGCTTTTGTTTTTTAATTATTTTTTTTAAAAAAAAAAGTAATAAAAAGAAAAAGAAGTAAAATTAATTTTTTTTTAAATTTGGGTTTAAATTTTTTTTTAAAAAGAAAAAGAAATAAAAGAAAAAGAAGTAAAATTAATTTTTTTTTAAATTTGAGTTTAAATTTTTTTTAAAAAAATAAAATAAAATAAAGTAAAAATAACTTTTTAAATTTTGTTTTAAAGTTTTTTTTTAAAAAAAAAAGAAATAAAAAAAAGAAGTAAAAAATAACTTTTTTTAAATTTGTTTTTAAATTTTTTTTTAAAAAGAAAAAGAAATAAAAAGAAAAAGAAGTAAAATTAACTTTTTTTTAAATTTAGGTTTAAATTTTTTTTAAAAAAAGAAAATAAAATAAAGTAAAAATAAGTTTTTTTAAATTTTGTTTTAAATTTTTTTTTAAAAAAGAAAAAGAAATAAAAACAAAAGAAGTAAAAAAATAACTTTTTTTAAATTTGCTTTTAAATTTTTTTTTAAAAAGAAAAAGAAATAAAAAAAAATAAGTAAAAATAGCTTTTTTTAAATTTGGGTTTAAATTTTTTTTTTTAAAAAAAACGAAATAAAGTAAAAAATAACTTTTTTTAAATTTTTTTTTAAATTTTTTTTTAAAGAAAAAGAAATAAAAAGAAAAAGAAGTAAAAAAATAACTTTTTTTAAATTTGTTTTTAAAAATTTTTTTTAAAAAAAAGAAATAAAAAGAAAAAGAAGTAAAAAAATAACTTTTTTTAAATTTGGTTTTAAAATTTTTTTTTTAAAAAAAAGAAATAAAAAGAAAAAGAAGTAAAAATAGCTTTTTTTAATTTTTTTTAAATTTTGTTTTTCAAAAGAAAAAGAAATAAAAATATTTTTTTTTAAAAAAAAGGAAGTAAAAATCACTTTTTTTGTATTTCAGGATCAAGAATTTTTTTTGTATTTCCAGAATTAAGATTATTTTGTTAATTAACGGTATACAGTAGTTTAGAATTCGCCGACACAGACAATAAATCGATTTAAATCGGGTAAGTGTTTCGCCGACCTTTAAGCATCGGATAAGGGTTGCCTTCGTGAAACTTTAGATTATGACGTCTAAGGCTATTTCTGCCAGACAAAGATTTTTTAAAACTCTTACATCCCTCAATTAAACATTTATTTGCTGGAAAAGAAAGAAGTTAAAATAAAATTATTGTCGTTATTGCATTCAAATATTATGAATTTACTGTTGATTGAGTAATAACAAGTATCGTAAGATCATAATACACATACTTGTTATTTCGTGTTATACGGTATACGTAACCAGATAACACACTAAATAACTTACGATTTTCTCCACCATGTTTGTAATTACGATGATCTTCCAATTCATGCGGATGTCGGTAAGCTTTTTCACAATCATCACATTTATAAGGTTTTCTTCTGGAAGGCATAGTATGACGTTTCGTGAAGGGTGAAAAAGTGGGACGGAAGTCATGAATAGGGTCCATTGCAGTAGGAGACGAAACAATGTTGTAATTAGGGGTAGCAGTAGGATCTTAAAATTTAAGAACATTTTGAGAAATAAATTTTGCATTGTAAATGGCGCAGAGACTCATATGACAATAAAATAATCAAAAGTTACCTAAATATGAAAGTGATAAAACGTTAAAGACTGTTACTCTAAGGCAAAGACTCATGCGAAAATAAAAGAATTAAAGCTTACTTAATGAATCCAATGTGTCGTGACCTTAAATTTAGGAATATTTGAATGTAAATTTTGCACGATTAATAGCATAAATAGAGAAAATAAAATAAAATAAAACATACTTGATAAAGTGGTATTGTCACCAAGAACCATTGCGCCGAAATCTTAAGGTAATCAAATAAGTAAAATTTGCATAGACAAAGACTCACGTGCAACTAAAACAATTTGAAACTTACCTGAAGTCAAAGTATCCTTAGAAGACGATAAAGTGTTATCATCAATACTCATATGAAAATGCTTACTGGGGTCCAAAATATCCGCAGAAGACGAGGAAATGTCATCATTAGTAGGAACCATAGAAGACGAGGAAATGCCATTATTAGGGACCACAGAAGACGAGGAGATGCCTTTATTAGGGACCACGTAAGACGAGGAAATGCCATTATTAATATTTGAATGTAAATTTTGCATAGTTAATAGCATAGAAAATAAAATAAACTGTACTTGATAAAGTGGTAATATCACCAAGAGCCATTACGTCGAAATCTTAAGGTAAATAGAATAAGCCAAACCTGCATAGACAAAGACTCACGTGAAACTTAAATAATTGAAACTTACCAGAAGCCAAAGTATTCATAGGAGACGATAAAGTATTATCATCAAGGACCATTTCGACAGAATCTTAAAAACAAAATAAGGTATAAATATATTCTGAACGATCATGAAGTATAGCTATACTCGTATTAAAATGCTTACTGGAGTTCAAAAGATCTGCAGAAGATGAGGAAATGCCATCATTAGGGACCACAGAAGACGAGGAAATGCTATTATTAAGGACTGTTGTATCTGGAATGTAAATTTGAATGCAAATTTTGCATAGTTAATAGCATAAATGAAGGAAATAAAATAATAAAATGGTATTATCACCAAGTGTCATTGTGTAGAAATATTAAGGTAAATAAAATAAGTAAAATCTGCATAGAAAAAGACTCACGTGGAACTAAAATAATTGAACTTACCGGAAGCCAAAGTATTCATAGGAAACGATAAAATGTCATCATCAAGGCCAATTTCGCCAGAATCTTAAAATGAAATAAGGTATAAATATATTTTGCACGGTGTGTAGTACAGCTCTATTCATATGAAAATGCCTACTAGAGTCCAAAAGATCCTCAGAAGATAAGGAAATGCCATTATTCTGGATCACATTATTAGGGACCGCAGAGGATGAGGAAATGTCGACTGTTGTATCTGAAATGTAAATAAATTTTAGGATAAATATAGTATAAGTGACATCTATAATATATTTCATTCAAATTTTATACAGGTAGAAATTTGCTCAAAACAGTAAACAGATTCAGCTAATGCCAAAAAGAAATTACTTAAGAAAGTGAATTGAGAATAGTCGAACATTATGGGAACGAATTGAAATCCTAAAAGAACAAATGAGTTTGTTTAATTACAATTGCATGCTCTTTGGAATTGCAAAGGTTGCAGAATACAACGGTCTCCGAACGATCAGAAAGTGGTGCGACGTCTTTTACCAAAAATGTATTAGACTTCATTAAGCTTATTTTTCCACCACATTTTTAAAAAAGCGATTCTTATAACAAACAACAACAAAACAATATATATATATATTCATATAATTTTTTAAAAAAACAATCCCTTCATTTAACTCAGTGCAGTTTAATTTTTCAAATAATACTGCACTTACGAACAGTTTTCTAAAATCCAATTGCACTTAGTCACGGCTAGAAGTGCAGGTGAATCGTCTCAATGGTTACCATAACTAGTTACAACATAAGCTTAGCCAGTTACGGCCTGCACTTCCATTCACGAATAACAAAGTCCAATTTATCGGGTTTATTTATTAAGCGTATCGTTGATATAATAATTCTTAAAAATTAAATTGTAAATTTTTTAACTTTTACTGATCGTAGGAAACCCAAGAACCTATTGTAAACGCGTTTCATTTAGGAAAAAAAAAAACCTGAGTCTGTAAGCATATAAATGAAACCAAATGGCATTTGAGATATTACGCTGCTTTTCGGAAGTTATCGAATTTTATTAAAACGAAATCATCTTGTGCTTTTGTACAAAATATTGGAATGTGATAACAAGTAAACGCCAACACATCCACTACAATAAAATAGGTTATTTATTGCAGATAGAGCTATAAAAGTTAAAGAATATCATTTTCAGTAATCAAGTCACATTCAAAATAGAGTTTGGGCAAATGAGTACGTACAATCTAGTCCCAACGGCTTGGGCAAATAAATTGCCAACATACACATTCAATTTCATTCAACATGACGCTCTTAAAATGCATATTGCAATTCATAAATTCTTTAAATTAAATTGTATTTCATTTTATATAACCATTTTTTTAGGTAGGTAGTATGAATATATTAATGTGCTCCTGTGCACATTCATTAAGAGAAAATTATAATTTTCGGACAAAATAGGCTCACAAATATTATTTATAAAATACCAATTTCATATTTTCAGTGTTACAGCGAAAATAATCATTAGGCGTAGTTACAGATTTTCACTCTGTAACACTCATTTGTCCTATGGATTATGCACTAGCTTCCCCAAATATTTGAATTTATTGCCATCTATAGTGCAATCTCTAATCTAATATTTCACGCAAATATTTGTTCCCATGCGAAACACAAATTATTGTGACTTTTACTACCGTTTCAAAAGCACATTCTGAATTGGAATATCTTCTCAAGCTTCGATACATTCTTTGATAAAGTACTGGAGCTACAAACTATTGACGCCAATCGCCAGGTTTGGAAAAAGCTGACTAAATAAAGATGTCAGGAACAATGATCGTGAATCTATACTATATAGTTATTGGATGCGAAGCAGTCAATAACGAGAGTTATTTGAAAAATACTACATTATCTAGGTTAAATTTAATGTGCCAGCTCTTGGCCCCCCCAGGAATGGTACGTTAAATTTAAAGCCAGATAAGTAAGTTATTGTAGCATACAATAACGGTATTATCCAGTGGTTTACGACGATTGTGCTTGCTAAATGACTCGAGTTTTTGTTAGTGATTACGTAGTTATTTAGCAGATGACGTAATCACTGCCAAAATAACTCGAGTTTATTTTTGTGTGTAGCACTATCATGGATAATACATGGTATAGTACGTATAACTTTGACAATAACAGATGTGATATTTACTATATATTATTAAATAATTTTGCATCGTGTACAGAACCAGTACGTGCTTGCGTGCGTGTTTACCGAAGAATGGGATATCATTATCTAAATTAAGCTTGCACAAATACAGAAATGTCATAAGACTCTAGGGGTGTATGTGTTTGTGATTAAAGAACTTTCTCGACAATTTCCGAAATTATGTTATTTTTGAGTTTATATGATTTTCCCGACACTAATTTCATCGACACCGAAGCCACTTTCCCGAAAGTATTATCTTCCCGACAGTATAATTTTCCCGACAAAATATTGCTTTCTTCCCGACTATTATGTTATCAAATATTCTCAATGATAGTCATTTCCCGATAGCTATTACCTCAAAAAGCACAAATACCTAACCCTTACTCTAACATAGACTCTCACCCTAACTCTAACATAACTCAGGAAAGCAATATTCAGTGAAATAATTGTCGGGAAGAAAGCACATATTTTGTCGGGAAAATAAAACTGTCGGGAAATGGGTCACCTTAAAAATGACATCAATAAAAGAGATCGTTTGAACAGACGTTCCATAATTACATACATATTACATTTAAATCTAATTCGCCTTATTTTGGAGGTGTCACGGTTACGATGAAAATAATTTCGCAAGTAATAAAGTTTAAGACTCAATGTAAAGAAATTCCTTAGAAACGATTCATGATGCACATTCAATAATTTTCAGACTCTAAATTTTGCCAACCTAAAAAGCAGTGATAACCGTTTTTTTTTGATGTATGTGCATCATATGTTAATATAGAAAAATAAGATTTGAGTGTGCCGATTCGTGTAATGGTACGTACCAAATCTTGAATGTATGTGTCATAATAAGATTACACAATTCTGCAGGTTACACGCACGCACATTCTTCGTATCAAACTTGTTTTCACAGTCTTGGCTGAACTAAATGCACATTCTGAACGTGTATGTGCTTGCATATTTGGATAAAGATGTTTACGAAAAATTATGCTGTGTGTAAATTTTAATTAAAAAAGTAACTATAAATTAATTCGAATTTTGTGAAAGTTTTCAAATGTTTCTAAAAAAAAAAATAAAGATTTTGTAAAAAAAAAAATTATTTGTAATGATATGAATGAACATATATACGATAAAACGCCAAGTGACCATAAACTTATTAATTTAACTAAAAAATATAACTTAGAATTTATTCCATATAATCAATTCACCAATGTAACTTACATTGCTAAAGGAGGATTTAGCAAAATTTATAAAGCCATTTGGGAAATGGGTAAAAGTGAAGTTGTTCTCAAGATTTATAATTATTATAACGACATTTATGCTGATTTTTCAAATGAGGTTAGTATAGAAGATCTGAATTAAACTTGTACTCGAGTCAAATTTATTTTTTTTCTTAGGTCATGAATTGATTCGAGTCGAGTCCAATCACTAGTTTGTATTTATTTATTTTTTTTTTAACGTGTATTCATATATAATCGAAAATATTATATTTTATTTAGTTGAATATCAATTTTCAATGCAGAACTCAATTTTCTGACCTATATTTCCAAAAAATTTATGGTATTACACGAGATCCAGAATCAAAAAAATATATAATCGTCATGGAATTTGCATTATATGGAGATCTACACTGTTTTTTAAACAGCAAAAAAACTTTAACGTTACGCGGCATGCTTGAAATATTAAATTTTATCGTGTGGGATCTTATGAATCTCCATAAAAAAAATATTATTCATTGCGATTTTCATAGTGGAAATATATTAATTAACAAAGATTCCAGATTTCATTCTCCATGTGCAAAAATCACTGACTTTGGAAGAAGTAAACTAGTAAATGCGACATCAAATCGAGATGTTATATATGGAATAATTCCATATGTGGCTCCAGAAGTATTAAGAGGTGAACCTTACACTAAACAATCTGATATCTATAGCCTAGGAATGATTATATGGGAGATGACGAGTGGACATAAACCTTTTTATGATCGAGAACATGATACTGATCTTATTTTGGCGATTCTGGATGGTCTTCGTCCTGATTTCATTGATGATACCCCTAAAGAACTTGTCGAATTAATCAAAAAATGTTGGGACAATGATGTTTCAAAGCGCCCAAAAGCTTCTGACATCAAATTCGAAATAAATCAGACATTAAAAAATAACGAAAATGAGCCAGTTCTTTCCAAAATTACATTTTCATATATTGAAAAAATTTGTTCAAGAACAATATATCAAAGTCGCTTGTTGAGTTCTTTTGTCAGCAGCGCTTTAGCTTTACGAAATTTACATTCAAATGTAACAGGTAAATATGTTAAATTTATTTATTGTAGTCTTTAAAATAATACGTATATATTATATTTACTTTAAATACTTCAAATAAAGAATCCACTATAATAAATATCAATTCATTAAGTAGTGGTAATTTAAACCTAATTTTACCTTTAATTATATGTTTAGTAATTTTCATTGACGAATTTACTTTTTTAACAGGTTACATCTCACGAGAAATTGGTTTGGATGTACTTAACTCGAGTCTCATGGTCATGTGATCCAATTAAAGCGGCACTGGAAATATATTTCAAAATTATTAGTGGTGCCCATTTTAGGTTCAACTCTGTTACTTTGTTAAAATTGTTCTAATCAAAAGTATTACTACATGTCACTCTGGTTATACCGACATCTGGATATAACGACATCATAGCAAAATCTTTCTATGTCGACATTTTTTTTTCAAATTTTGATATAAAATGTCAGTATAACTCACTGTATCAACATTTTTGAAAATTTTTACTAATGCCTCAAAAATGTCGATATAACCAGAGTGACATGTAGTAGTTTTTATTCTTTGCGAAAGATTTATAGAAGGAACATTGAATTTTTTATGTTGCAAATTTGTAAATTATATTTTTATTATCTGTAAAATATTTAACTATCACTAATATTTTTTACTTAATAAAAAAAAAGAAAAACTTTGATTATATAAATGAAATTAATGAACATATTTGATGTTTAATATTCCATTGAATCTCTACAGTTCGTGACATACCAAAGATGCAAGCTTTAGACTGATTCAGCTTAAGCCATTAAAATTAAAATTTATGATAGTAGAAATATTATTTTTCAATAATTAATTGATAATTTATTAAAGATTATAACTAATTTTCACAATCAAAATTATTCCATACATAAAGATAACTATTCAATTAAATACGCGCAAACTAGCTTTATAAATTCGTGTAAAGGATCCTCAAATCTATTAAAAATTTAATATCGTTATTGCTAGAGATAATCAAATCGAGAAATTTTGAATCGACTGCGCAGGTTGACCAGACAACCAATCTGAATTTTAAAGATCGCTTAAAAATTATGCAGTGGTCCATCCCTAATTATTGCTATAAATAAGTACATAATACAGTGATTTCACTAACATTTTTTTCGCGTCACACAATATTAAACAAAATTTTAAATTACGAGTGTTTCAAGTTATCAGAATATGCGAAATACAATATATCATTTATTAGGTGAAAAAAGTCGAATAATATACAAATAAATATGGTAAAAAAATATAATATAAATAAGTATATAAGTAAGCTAGTAAATGTTCGTAAAGAATTCTTTAAAACACTAAAGAAGGTTCTTCTATAGCATACACTTTGTTCTCAATCTAGATTCACGTTAAGAGATTTTCATATAATCGAGTCACATCACCAGAGAGAGTCTTACTTCAGTTTGTAATATAAAATTTATATAATAAAATAATATATATTATTTGGTATTGGTTCTTGATCAATGAATGCTTCAGTAGTTCCGAAAGGAGTTTTAATAATATAATAATAAAAGATAGTAATTCCAAAAGGGTGAAGTAGTAATAATATAGTAATATGGTAATATGATTATAAGTATGTGAGGTAATGAAGGAATCATAATTCTTCTGTAGTAAATTGATTGGTATGACATGACATTTTGATTATTTGGTGATGTTTCTTGGTTAATAAACGCCTTAATTGTTCTAAGGAGTTATAATAATCATTATAACAGATAAGGATGTGATATTCCAAAATTTAATAAGGAGATTAGAATTCTTCAGTAGCAATCTCGTAGGAGTTGAATGGATTGTTTAACATTAGTCCTTGGTCAATGAACGCCTCAGTAGTTCCGAAAGAAGGGATAGTGTGAGCATGTGTTATTCCAAAGTTTAAATAGGAGGACTGAAATTCTTCATCAGTAGTTTCATAAAGGTTAATTGGTGTAATATTTTGATTATTTAGTGCTGGTTCATTGTTAATAAATTCCTTAGTAGTTCTAGAAGGGGTCATAATAGCATTGTAATACGGATGATTTAATGAACAGAGTTGGAATTCTTCAGTGGTGCTCTCACAAGAGTTAATTGACGTAGTATTTGGATTATTATTTGACATTAATCCTTGACCAATAAATGTTTCTGTGGTTCTGAAAGAAGGAGCAGTATAAGCATATGTAGTTTCAAAGTTTGAATAGGAGGATTGAAATTTTTCAATATTGGCTTTATTAGGGTTAATTGGTGAGATATTTTGATTATTTGGTGTCGGTTCTTTATCAATAAATACTTCGATAGTTCTAAAAGGAGTTAGAATAACATCATTATAAAGATGTGAAGTTCCAAAATTTAATGGGGAGAGTTGGAATTCTTCAATATTAGGTTTATGCAAATTACTATTAAAAGGAGATCGTAGTAATTTAGGAAATCTAGGCTTTGGACCGCGTTTTCCACCCAAAGTATAAGTACAATGAAGTCTGTGGTTTCTACAGTATGCACATATATTCTCTTCAGAAGGTTTTTTGCATTTTCGGTGACTCGCTCGAAAATTGTTACATGCTAAAGTTGCATTGGTGCGCAATTTTTGTGGTTTACTTGATTGAGACATTTGGAATGTTTAACACATATTTAAGCAATTTAACTACACTGGCGGTAGCAGTAGGATTATAAAATTTACAGTAAAACTAAAATTATAGGTGATATGATCTTGATCATAAAAAAATAAGGATTTTTAAACAAGCCGTTCAATAGAAGCATTTTATATTTAAAATAATCACATATTCTTCTGCATGTTTTTTCGTTAACCTAATTGTACAACTAATTGTACAACTAATTACACGGGTAATTAACCCAATTTGCAATGACATGTATAAATCCTATACCAGTTATTGTTACATAGAAAATTAAGTTAAGCGTTAAGGTAATTAACATTTCATAATTGCAGAAATACGCAAAAATCGTACAAACCAATAAGCTTAGAAGATATTTAATATTTTGAGTACATAACCAATTTTGATAAATCAAATAAATAAATAAATAAATAAATGCACTTTTCGTTGTTTCTGCATATATCCAGACAGAAAAAATCACCACTCTGCATTTACATAAAACTAGTTATACAAACTTTTATCAAATCTATGTGAGTTTTAATCACTACGTAATAGATTTAAGTTGCAGATGAATTAGTTACACAAAAATTTAGAAACTGTTCAAATATGTAAAATACACAATAACGAGTTTTAATCACTACGTAATAGATTTAAGTTGCAGATAAATTAGTTATACAAAAAATTAGAAACTGTTCAAATATGTAAAATACAATAACGATAATGGATAAAATATTTAACTTAACATCTAAAAACTTATTACATAAAAACTTACACAGAAAATTAAAAAATCCAAATACGTCGCAAATAGTTATCTTCACTTAACACAAAACATTGTTATACAAAAAGTTACTAAAAATTAAAAACGCAAATACATTAGATAAAATATTTTCATTCAACATTCACTCAATGTAAAACATTGTAATTTTCGAAATTCAAATTATTTCCGTATAGCATTGTCTATAGCAACCAATTCTTATTCAAAAAACTTCCAGACTAGCTTGAATAGTAGTGGGGGATGCTGAATGCACTATATAAGAAGTAAATGGCTTATGGAGTTCAAAAAAAGTTACTGTACGAGGAGAATACTTTATCAAAGGAGTACTGTAGACAACGCTATGTTGATATGGTACATAACGGTAACAATTTTGAAATACTCAACAAGAATTAATTAGAGTTTTATTATCGTTATTGCTAAATAAGTATGTAATGCAGGGATTTTATTACGTAATATTTTTTCACGCCATATAGTATTAAGTTACAAGTGCCATGAGACATGGCAAATAATATAATAAAAAATAAATGTACATGTAATGCATAAATTGATAGTAAATGTTCGTAAAAGAGTCTTTAAACAAAAAATTCTTTATAGCATATCCTTTGTCCTTACATTGATATTAAGAAAAATCTAATTTGATATCTATGTAATAGATCACTGTGGATGCTTACTACATTGCTAACTTGATACACATTCAAGAGATACTTTCATATTGTCGAGTGACATCATCCAGAGAGAAAATTAGCAAATCTGGTATTTGTTTGTAATAAAATTATATAAGAAATAATCGATATAGCAATTCCGAAAGGAGTTCCGAAGTTTAATTAGAGATTAGAACTCTTTATAAAATTTATAAGTATCCGATTATTTGATATTGCCGGCTAATGAATGCTTCAGCAATTCCAAAAAGGTGAGGTGGTAATAATATGATTATAAATATGTAAGATTCCAAAATTTAATGAAAGAATCGGAATTCTTCTGTAGTAACTTCATTAAAGTTGATTGATGTGGTATTTTGATTATTTTGTGTTAATTTTTGGTATCTTAATTATTTACATTTAGTCCTTGGCTAACGAACGCATCAGTAGATCCGAAAGAAGGAATAGTTTATTTACATTTAGTCCTTGGCTAACGAACGTATCAGTAGATCCGAAAGAAGGAATAGTTTAAGTATATGAAGTTTATAAGTTCGAACAGAACATTAAGCCTCTTCATTAGTAGTTTCATAAAGGATTATTTGGTGCTTGTTCTTGATTAATAAATGCTTCAGTAGTTCTAAAAGGAATTATAATAACGCCATCATAAGGATATGGAATTTCAACATTTAGTGAAGGGAATTGGAATTCTTCAGTAACAATCTCATGAGAGTTAATTTGCGTGGTATTTTG